AGGTAAACAGACAGACACTTAAAGTTAAGAGAAAAGGTGTGTGCCATATATTTAATTTGTTGTTGTCATTATTACTTTCTTTTTTAAAGATTTATCATGTGTATTAATATTCTGCTGGCATGCATGCCTGCACACCAGAAGAGGGCACCAGATCTCATTATAAATGGTTGTGAGCCACCATGTGATTGCTGGGAATCGAACTCAGAACCTAAGTGCAGCCAGTGCTCTTAACCTCTGCGCCATCTCTCCAGCCCTATTATTATTTTCAAGACAGGATTTCTCTGTGTGTAATCCTGGCTTTCCTGGAACTTACTCTGTATACCAGGCTGTCCTTGAACTCAGAGATCCATGTGGCTCTGCCTCCTGAGTGCTGGGATTGAAGGCATGAGCCACCATTGCCTGCAAGACATTTTTATGTATATGTGTGCCTACATGGATGGTTGTGCACCACAAGTGTCTGGGTACCAGAAGGGGGCACCTGTTCTCTTAATACTGGAGTTATAGTAGGGAATCGAACTAGGGTCTTCTGCAAAAGGAGCCTTTGGCTTTAACTGCTGAGTTATCTTGCCCCTCCCCACCTTAATATTATTTTCTTGCTGGCCAACAGCAGAAGCAGACAGGTGGATTCTGAGGCCCGTGAGGCAACCTCATCCAATCCCCAGCTCTCTAAAAGAAACAATGTACCAAAAAGAAGCAGGAAAGTGCACATTTAATGAAGTATATCAAAAATAATCATTTTAATATATGACCACTATTAAAATATAATGAAGTGTTTTATAATCTTTTATTTGGCCAAGTCCTTGAAAACTGATGAGTTTTATATATATAGTGTATCTCAAAATGGTCTAACCATATCTTTTACTTACTTTGAGGCAAGGTTTTGCTATGTAACCCAACGTGGCCTCAAATTTGTTATATAGCACAGGCTGGCTTCAAACTTAGTATCCTTTTGTATTGGGATTATGCTGTCATGCCCAGCTTTTTTTTTTACATTTTAAGGGATTGTTTGGTTTGGAGGTTTTGTTTTTTTTTTGTTTTGTTTTGTTTTGTTTGTTTGTTTGTTTGTTTGAGACTGAGTTTCTCTGTGTAGCCCTGACTGTCCTGGAACTCACTCTATAGACCAGGCAGGCTGGCCTTGAAATTACAGAGATCCCCCTGGCTCTGTCTGCTGAGTGCTGGGATTAAAAGCGTGTACCACCACTGCCTGGGTTTGAAAGACCTGCAGAGCATGGACCTTCACGCTCCCACTCTGGAAAGGCAACACCCCAAATCACCCATGAGAAGCGGTCTTGATGTAAAAGCATGAGGACTTTTAATTCCAAGTGCACTGGGGTCTACAGTCATATACCACACAGAGGTAGAGGACTGAGGACCTTGAGGGCAGAATTGAGACAGTTTCTATAGGGTTTATAACAAAGCCCACACATAGGTCACTGGGGTGGGGGTTTCACAAGTAGTTTATGAAGTCAGATCACTGGGGTGGGGGTTTCACAAGTAGTTTATGAAGTCAGATAAGTGGTTAGTCAACTCATTTTCTGTTATTTTACCAGGCCAGGATTACACACTCAAGGGCCTGTCCTAAGCAGCAAGGAGTGTGACTGTGCCTATTTTCTGGCAGAGGACAGGGGCTGGAATTTGAGGTTTTGGGGGCTTTTTTAGATAGTATTTTTAAACTTTTAGCTTTCTGGGGTCATTGGAGAGTTAGGCTATATTTTTCCATCCTTACATTCCCCACTTCTTGTTAATAGTTCTAATCTTAGAACTGGGGAAATTAAGAGACAGCCTCCTCTTGGCTTGGGAGGCTCCTGTACTGTTGTCGAAGTACCATAATCTGGACCACAATTAATTTATTTTTTAACAAAAGTAACAATTTTTTAACAGTAAGCCACAAGAGAGTTTAGAGGCTCCAGAAGAAATTCGACCCCATCAATCCAAAGATTGATCCAGCAAGGCATCCTGGTTCCTGTTCAATCTCCCTGGAAGCCTACTGTTTGACTGATACTGATGTAGCACTAGCTTTCAGCTGAATAACCTTCAGGGGTACTTGTTTTTCCAGACCCATTCTGGATACTTCAGCTCAAGCTAAGGGAGTTTGGGCCAACCACCAGTCCATATTTGAGGCTCTAGTCTCGTCTGAACAGTCTAGGTCAAGCCCGGGTTCCTTGTGGAGTTTGTACACATCTTCTAGTCTAATAGTGAGGACTTGCAATTGATTTCCTTGTTCATCAGTTACTGATGGTTGTTCAGAATCAAGATGAAGCTGGGCTCCTACATTTGACAGAATGTCTCTCTCTAACAGAGGGTAAGGACATTCTGAGATAACCAAGAACGAGTGGTATACTCGGCCCACGCCAAGGTCCACTGTTCTTCAAGTAGTCCATGAATAGTGCTATTGCCCTGTGACACCCATTACCCAAGATTTTTTTTTTAATTTTTCTAATGGCTGTATCAGCACAGAATGCTCTGCTCTGGTCTCCACCAAAAACTCGACTGGTTGTCCCTCCACTTTCAGAGTTACCCTGGGCTCGGGGAGGGGGTCCAAACCCTATCCCCTAATCTTAATCTTTCCCCCAGGGCTAGGACCTTTGATCCCTTGTTTGTCTTTTTGGGGCAGTCCTTTGCCCAGTGTCCTTTCTCTTTACAATATGCACACTGGTCCTTGTCGAGTGGGGTCCTGTTTCCCAGGTTCCCTGGCTGTCTAGGGCCTGTTCTAAATTTCCTAACTTTTCTCTATTTTTTTCTTTAACCATTGTGGCCAAGATTTTAGTAAAATTCTTTTCCTGTCTTCTGTTCTCTGTTCCTTTAATACATTTTCTCTGTCTCTGTCTCTCTCTTTTTTCTCTGTCTCCTCTCTCCTCTATTCTCTGTTCCTTCAATACGCCTTCTGTCTCTTTCACTAAATCACATATCTCAGCTTCCTGTAACCCTTCCAGTCTCTGGAGTTTCTTTCTACTATCTGGGGGCCAATTGCTCTATGAAGGCCAGAGCCACCAAAGCTCTCTGGGTTTCTGAGGTAGGGTCAAAAGAAATGTTCTCTTTACCTTAGCCAAATTGATGGGCTGACTTGCGGCACCTCAGAGACCCGCCATCAGAGCCTGACGATAGACTTTCAAGCTCCCCCTACCTTTAGTGGTGTTGGAAGTCCCAACTGGGGCCAGGGCCAGTCAAGGGGAAATCACACCATCAATCTCTCTTTTTTTTTTTTTTTTTTTTTGCAGCTGCGTGGCACCAGGAACATTTTTTTTTTTTTTCCTAGCCTCTAGCAGTAGCTGTTGACAGTCATCCCGATTAGACTGGTGAGAGAACATAAAGATCTGAGGAGGAGAAAAGCCAGTACTGGGGAGGCTATAATCTGGCCACCCGACACTAGGGGGGCAACTCCAGCATGGCTCTTCTCTTGCTGCCTGAGCCTGCGGCCCCACCCATGGCTGCTCAGATGTAGCTTGGCCGCAGCGGCAACAAGCTCATGGGAGCAGGGGTGGAGGGGAACGTGCAGGCTTGCAGTCTCACTGGGTTTCCCAGCCACGAAGATGGCCCCAGGCAAGTGCTTGTGGGTAGCAGGTCAGGATGAGAGCCAGGTCCTGAAAAACAGTTGCTTTAACAGCTTGGATAATCTCAGAATTAAAAGGGTTCCCTCTGGTGGCCATCCAACGTCAAATGTTGACCACTCAGGGACAAAATGTCTGCCAGAATCTCCCTAACCTAACTGACAAATTATGGGCCCGAGACTTCAGTCCAGTGGTCAAGAGTCAAACTAAGGGGAGTCACAGTCGTCACCGTCTGTCCCATGATAAAACTATAGACAAAGACACACAGATCAAAAACGCACAAAACTAACAGATCCAGACTCATACGACCCATCTGGGCAAAAGAATCAGGCAGTCGTGGGGGAGGAAGTTTCTGCTTCAAAAACAAAGCTCTGTCCCACTGACCTACAGAAGGAAGCTGCTGGGCATCCCCAAGGCCTCCTCACCCCCCCCCCCAGGGCTTCCCCCAGGGCAGCAGCCTGTGATCCTCCAGCACGTCTGCTGACCACAGTCCCCTGGTCCTTACGACCTAAGAGGACAGCTGCAAACTGAAACCAAGAATGTGCGTTACAAAAAACAGATACCAGAAAGCAGATACTCAGAGACACTGGCCGACACACACACAAGGGGCGATCCCTTTACCTCCAAGTTGGTTCTTGGGTATGAGGGGTGGTTGCAGTTTCCTTGTCAATGCACCAAATGAAATACCTGCATAGTGTGGACCTTCACGCTCCCACTCAGGAAAGGCATCATCCCAAATCACTCACAAGAAGCAGTCTTGATGCAAAAGCATGAGGACTTTTAATTCCAAGTGCACTAGGGTCTACAGTCATACACCACACAGGAGTAGAGGACTGAAGACCTTGAGAGCAGAATGGAGACAACTTTTATAGGGTTTATAACAAAGCCCACACATAGGTCACTGGGGCGGGGGCTTCACAAGCAGTTTACAAAGTCAGATAAGCAGTTAGTCAACTCATTTTCTGTTATCTTACCAGGCCAGGATTACACACTCAAGGGCCTGTCCTAAGCAGCAAGGAGTGTGACTGTGCCTATTTTCTGGCAGAGGACAGGGGCTGGAATTTGAGGTTTTTGGGGCTTTTTAGATAGTATTTTTAAACTTTTAGCTTTCTGGGATCATTGGAGAGTTAAGCTGTATTTTTCCATCCTTACAGGTTAAGGAAATGTTTTACTAAGACAGATTTAATAGACTTGATTCAGACCTTGTGTTGTACAAAGTCTACAATAGTTTCAGTGTGTAGTCCTTTATAGAAAACACTTGCTGATCCGTGATTGAATTAATTTTATCTTGACAGTATTTTAGTAAGGCGGATGCTCTTATCCCTATTTTGCAGATCAGGAAATGGACACATGGAAGAAATAATCAGTGTTCTTTTTGCTTTCACCAGTGCATACTGCCGACTTTAAAAAAAAAGCTTTCTAATATATTAACTTTTTTGTATTTCTTTGCAGTGTAAAAAGTGGATCAGGTGGCTCACGTGCTAAAGGATGGCACGGTCAAGATCCAGATCCCCCAGGTGGAAACAAAGGTGAGGAGTTCCATGGTTTACAGTTAGATTTGGAAATTACCATTTCTATTCAGGCTTCCATTTTAATAAGCTCACTGGATCTGGCTGTTTACAATAGGCAATTGATAAGTATTTGTAGATTCAGCGAGCTGTTGAATTTGTTTAATTGGGGCTGGCAGCTAGAACTAATTTATAATGAAAAGGAATGCAGTGACCACAACCAGAATGAGAAATGAATTTTAGAGGGGTACATTTTTTTAGGCTAAGAAGGTTTTATAACTCTTCAGTGTATATATAGTTTAAATTTTCAAAATATGTTTCAAGAAATTTAGTCAGAAAACAAAAAACAAAACAAAACAAAAAAAAAAAAAAAAACAACTTTCCTATCTTGGCAGAATAGTGATTTTTCAATAGTATTGTACATCACTTAACAGTCAAGTTTTGGGACTACAAAACTGTCTTCCGTGGCCTCAGTAAGCATACAGATTGGCTGGGGAGAGTAATAGAATAGGCAATTCTGATACAGTGGGGAAAGTGCTATGTTTCTGACTTGGGTAAAGCAATCTGCATTTGCAGGGACAGAATAATTCTGCTTAGCAGCCAGCAAGTCAGACTGCCATAAATGACCATTATTACATACATTAAAGATGAACCATGATTTTTATGTTAATATAACTTGGCTATTGTGCTTGTTCCAATAATACAGTGAATCATCAGTCATTTAGTTTTCATTTTATAACTGTCACAAAATCATGTTGTATTTGGGAGAAGTTTCAAACAGGAAAGAGCATGTAAAGACAGAAATTATAGCATGGAAGATAGCACAGAGTACATTTTATTTATTCTTCTTTTAGTGAGGCTCTGGTAATGGGCACAAAGACTCTGCCAAGCTTAGTGCCTGATTTTCTAATTCCTTCACCAGGGTTTTTTGTTAAGACCTATAAAGGGTTTGACATTTTGGTCCTTTCTAAGCCTACATACTAGTTTCCAACAAGGCACTCCCATATCAGAGACTTTCTCTCTAACTTCAAAGATACCCTGAAGCTCAGCACTTTAGAGTGGCTGGCTAGGTAGATGATGCAAAACAATCACAGGTTCTGGGCTTATGACATAACTGAGGAACTTGAGTCACTTATACTAAATATTATCTTATTATCATGAGCAGCAAACAAATAAACTACTTTCCCTGAGGGAGACCTTATCTCTATTTCCAAGGCTATTTCCTGGGGAGACCAAGTTGTCAGTGTCTACTCATAAGGCATGTAAAACTCTAGAGACTGGACAATTGTCTTCTAACAGACTCTTTGGGTCTCTTAGAACTAGAAAAGTTAGCCATTATAACAACTTTTTCTAGAGCAAGTGAATATTATACAGTAAGACATAAAATATGATGTCAGAGTAGATTTAAATGTGAATTAAATCTTCCTGTCTGGAAGATGTCTGCCTTTGACTACCAGGTTCTCTCCTTAGCAGTGAAAATGTATGAAATCTCCCAAGAATTCCTCAGAGGCTCTAGTTGCTTCTTCTCCTATGATGAGGTATAGCCATCAGGAGTTTCTGCTTCTGTTAAGTAGTATTTGCCAGTGTGTCTAGCTTTGACTCTGGAAGAAAGTATTGCCAAATTGATTGTAAATGTCCTAGTGGTACTGAAGAAGATAGGTGTACTTCCTTTCTTGTGTAAAGACAGGTTTTTCATCGAAAAGATACTCATTTGTGATTGCCCCAATTATTTAGAAGCTTCTTAGAGCTGGTAAATAAATTGCCTGGGCACACCTTTCTCACTGATTTGGAGACATTAAGCTCTAAATGAGAAATTGTACAGGTCACGTAAGGGAACGGTTTTCAGATGCAAAGGTAAGCTTTATCGTTTCCTTTCTTTCCTTGTTTTTTTATTTTTTATTATTATTTTTTTTTGGCTTGATTGTTTTTGAGACAGGGTCTGATTGACTGACATAGTACTTAGTATATAGGCTACGCTGGCTTTAAACTCAGAGATCTGTCTTCCTGTGTGAGACACCATTTACCTTCCTTATCATTAAGGCTGAGTAACCTACAGTGTTTTCCATGAATACGGGAGTCTTCTCAGTGGGAATACAAGTCTACAGGCTGGCAGTGTCAAGGTAATAGAAAAGATAGATAAAGAGAAACTAGCACCATAACATGGAGAGTATTACAACATACTTTGACTAGAGTTATAAGGTATTTGAATAACACATCTTTTAGTTAATATGATTTGCAAAGAAAATTAGTTTATGCTACAAGTATTTATGGGGAGATAGGCATAGAAGTCCACTTTAGTATTTCCAGCTTACTGAAGGTAGAGGCAGCAAGATTGCTTTAAGTGTAAGGTCAGCTTTGTCAGCAGAGACAGTACTAGTTAGGCCAGCTTGGGTTATAGAATGGATTTTTTTTTCTTAAACAAACAAAATAAAAAAAAGAAAGAAAAGAAAAAGAAACATAATATGTGGAGGAAAAGTAGAGATTGATGTCTTATGTCTCTCTTCTCTTTCCTTCCCATGCTGCCTGATAAGCTTCTTACTTTGGTACAGCCTTGAGTGAAAGAACAGTCAGTTGGAAAAACTGGAAACATTTCTGTGTGTGAGTTTGGATTGTAGCATCATTGTCTTAAAATGCAATTTTAGAGGTCATGCTTAGTTTTCTTAACACTCTTTGAAATATTTGTTCTTACTTTGCTCATTCTTGTTTCTCACTTGGCTGTTGAACCTGATGTAAGCATTTCCTGATTAGCCTTTTGGGGTTGCTACATCTCCTGTTAGAACCTTGCTATCAGTAGTATCTCAAAAAAGATTGTGTTATATACCTGGTCTATTCCCCCTCCAATATGACAGGTATGTTTAACCCAGTTGGGTATATTCATTGAATACATGAGAGTGTGGTTGTCAGGTAGAACAAAACAGTTATTAGACCTCCTCACTCAAATTTATAAATTCCTAGATTTACCTTGAGTGGGTTAGTATTGGAATTCTAGAAAATGTCAATGTTTTAGGTAGGTCACACTAAAACAAACAGATAAATGTCTCAACTTGAACTAAACTTCTCTATGCTTGTTTATATAGGTCATTATCACCACAGTCTAGAAATTTTGAATACTATGAGGAAAGACATTTCCATGAGCATTATGACCCTGAATATAGAAATGATCCAAAAAGATCCTTTACTTGGAGAATGGATGATGAGAAACATGGACAGAGTAAACCAAGGATTCCCCCTCGTGTGAATCCATATTATCGGTCTTACGAAAATAGATCACCTTCCCCTAATGTAAAGTCTGTAGAAAAGTTTGACACATACAAGCCTCACCAAGAATATTTCCCTGGAAGAGGGGATGATGACAGAAGATCTCAGTATATGCCCACATACTCAGAAAGTGCAACAACCTACACAGAGCACGAAAGGGATTGTTATCCCCCCAAAATGCAAGGAAGGTATATTCCTGATGAGCACAGAGGTAGAGGAAGCGGGAGAGGAGGGAAACCACCTGAGATGTCACTGGAAGATTCCTTTAGATTTGAAGAGACATGGCATGAAGATGAATCAAGACACCAGAGGGTACAAGAAGAAAGCTACCCTCAGTCACCCAGAAGAGGCTCAGAAGACTTTGATGCCAGGAACCTTTTTCAGATGAGGTACAGGATATCACTAAGCTTGGGGAGTCTTGAATAAGGCCTCAAGTAAACAGTGTTTTATGTTGACTATGATCACATTTTTGTCTCAAAAGTAAGAATATTTCTTTTGGGGGGGGGTGCTGGAGAGATTGCTCAGAGGTTAGGTCCTGATTTCAATTCCCAGTAACCACATGGTGGCTTGCAGCCATCTATAATGAGATATGATGCCCACTTCTGGTATGCAGGCAAACATGTAGATAGAACACTATACATAATAAAGAAAATAAATCTTTAAAAATATATTTCTTTTTTAGGTAGTTTGTATTGATAGCTAGAATGAGTTCCCCCCCCCCTTGGCGTTTCGAGACAGTTTGTCTGTGTAGCCCTGGCAGTCTTAGAATTCTCTGAAGACCAGGCTAGTCTTGAGATATGTCTTTACTGCCAAGGTTCTGGAATTAAAGTTAAGTGCCATCATGTTTAATCAAAAATTATTTTCTTCGTTTTTTGCTTTTTTTGTTTTTGAGACAGGGTTTCTTTGTGTAGCTTTGGAGCCTGTCCTGGAACTAGCTCTTGTAGACCAGTCTTGTCTCAAACTCACAAAGATCCGCCTGCTTCTGCCTCCCAAGTGCTGTGATTAAAGGCATGTGCCACCACCACTAGGAGAGAGAATGCTTTTAAAAGCAGGGTGGTGATGGTGCATATCTTTAATCCCAGCACTTAGGAGGCAGAGGCAGTTAGAGCTCAGTTAGTCTAAGCCAGCCTGGTCTACAAGTGAGTTCGAGGACAGCCAGGACTGTTACACAGAGAAAACCTTGTCTCAAAACAAACAAAAGATGTTACCTTGTAACTTTATGGGTTGGCATGAGGTCCTGTGAGTTATCTTGCCATTGCTTGCTGCATTTTAAGACCAGACTGCTCAATATTCTACACATTGAAATTTTTACTTTTTGTGCATTGCAAATGTTAACTTCTCTATGTCAACACAGGTATCCTGAGGATTATGATTTCAGAAAGTATGATTACACATCAAAAAGACCTACAGATGCCACAAGATATGAAAATAGAGAAGCAGCCAGAATCCAAAAGTGGAAGCCTGAGCATTCTTTTGTACCTTTCCAAGAGAAAAATGAAGAGTGGAGCTTTGGATCACAAAGCCACAGATACACTGAGAGAGAATACCCAGAGACAAGTTCAGCAACCAAAGTATCTTACGACTACCGTCACAAACATCATAATCTCTCAGACAGCGAGCAGGACTTTCCTGATGGGAGGTTTCAGAAGTACTTGAAGGAAGAAGAAAGAAAATATAGTTCTCTAAAAGTTCCTGGAAATAGAGAGTCAGATTGTTTCAGTGCTGCAAGAGGAAGAGAGAATGAGAATGAGCAGGCCAATGGGCTCTTTCAACTCCACAAGAATGACTGTGTTTCCTATGCCAATGCAAATATAAAGGAAGCCAATTTGGGGCCTTGTAACGACAAATGGAAGAAAAAACTAAATAAAGATTGCAGAAAAGAGAGTGCCTCTTCTAGTAAACAACATGGTGTAAGCCCAAAACCTGAAGAGAAACGCTATTCATTTGTCAAGAAGAAATCACTTACTGTTAAAGTAGACAAGATAGACACATTTAGGTATTAACTTTTTTATTATTTATTAATAGTTTTTTTCCCACCTTAATTTGCAGTTTCCAAGATGGGATTTGTACTGTAGGTTTGAGTAAATTAAGGGTTCAGGAGGTTACCAAGATTTTTCCTCCAAGGTCCTATAATGAAGACAAATTCTGAAGTTAACAATAGGTTGTGATTTTGTGTTTTCTGGTTTCCATATAATTCTTGGGTTTAGGACATTTCAAGGACTTGTTTCTCTTTATGAAGTTAGGCATTTTTATACTGCCAAGTTTCTTTTAAACTCAGGGATAGGTTGACTATTCTTTTTGTTTGCTTGTTTGTTTTTTTTTTTAAGACAAGGTCTCACTGTGTAACCCTTTCTGTCCCAGAACACTCTTTGTAGACCAGGCTGACCTCAAACTCAAGCGATCAGTTCTCCTCTGCCTCCAAATTGGTGGGATTAAAGGTGTTTGTCAAGCTGTGCCTTATTGTTTTTGATATTCATAAAAATTTTTAGCAGGACAGGATCTTATTAGGTCCTTATTTTATAAAGGATAAAAGTTAGGTTTTGAAAGATGAAATAAATAGAGCTTAAATCCTTACGTCTTTTTTGGGATCCCAGGAGACAGATTACTTGATGTGATTCCTACTGTGGTTTCAATATGACAGAATTTAACTGACTAGATTGTTCTCTAAGATAGAGGGAATGAGGCTATAAATATTGTGCTTGTGTGTGTGTGTATTCATGATATGTGAATCCTGACACAAATGTGCCATGGCAGGTATGGACATGGCAGGTATGGACATGGCAAGTAGTGGACAATTTTGGGGAGTTGTTTCTTTCCTTCCTTCCACCCTCAGTTCTAGGGGCCAAACTCAGGTCGGTCATCAGGCTTACATGGCAGGTTCTTTTACCTCCTGAGCCATTTTGATGCCCCTCAGTTAATTTTTTAATAGATTTAGTTTCAAAACACTATTCTAAGCTTATTACTTATACTGAGAGATTTTTATAAAGTCAGGTTTTTAGGTTTCATAACAGCTTTTAAAGTATGGAAAGTATGGTAGTGGTCAAAGTGGCTGATTACAATGTTTTGGCAATATTGAAATAGAAAAAGTTAATTAACTAGGTGGCTTTAATGCCATGTGTTTGAAGGAAAAATTCACTTGGAATTTCATCTATAATTATCCTCACAAATACTTGTGGCTTATTAGTTTTATAGCATGTAATTTTGTGCCTAAATTATTACAGAATAAATAAATATATTTTTAGTGGTTTGCTATCTTAATTTTAACAAATTCTATTCTTAGCTAAAAGCCTCCAGTTTAATTAAACATCTCAAATTATTTCAGGTCTACTTCTAGATATTCTGCAGAGAGACAGGTATCACATGATTTGGTTGCAGTTGGCAGAAAAAATGACAATTTTCATCCAGTATTTCAACATCTTGACTCACCTCAGAATCCTGAAAACAAACCCACTGAAGAATTTGCTCAGGAAATCATAACAATAATCCATGAAGTTAAAGGTTGGTATAGCTTACCCAAACATTATGTATAGCATAAAAGTGTACCAACTTTTATTAAGGTACAAATACCTCTGATGTTGTTTAACTGTAATTAATGTTCCATTTTAAGTAGGTCATAAGTTAGGATATCTGCTGGAAAGGGTACCAGACACTCATTCAAGCCTAGTTGTTCTTTTTATGTATTTTCAATAACATTGTGTTTCAAATGCTAGTGAATTACAAATTAGTTTGAAAAAGATCAGCCTGCTCCAAATAGCAGGCATATTGAGAGCCTTTCAAAAGAGGAAGAAGCAACAGAAACAGGTATAAATCCCAGATAATCCAGAAGTTAGGTTAGATTATGATATTATCAACCTTCCCCCAGGGCCTTCTTAGAACTTTGTACAATAAGCTTGTTGCTGTGATCAGTGGAAGATTTTGTTCTCTGTGACATCCAAGAGTTCATTAAGGTTTTAAAGATTTGCATTAAAGTTTTGCTTTTGATAAATTTTCACTAATTGGAAAAGAAGTGATATAGAAACAATTTTCCTTAGTAGTGCTACATAAATTATAGATAAGCTAAACAGATTTTCAAAAATGTCAAAATTTTATTTGCTTTAATCTACCTTCATGAAACTTTTTTTTTTTACAAATAATAATTGGGGCTGAAGAGTCAGCTCAACAGTTAAGAGTACTGGCTACTCTTGAAGAGGCCTTGGGTTCCCAGCACTCACATGGCTGTTTATAGATTTCCCTAACTTCAGTTCTAGTCCTCTTTTACACTGTTTGGCCATAGGTCACATAGGCATACATACATATAGGCAAATTATTCAATGCATATAAATAATGCCTTTCAAAGAAAACCATTATTTTATCTGCTATCCCTTAAGTGAAGGTATGTATTGTTTTGAACCAAGAAGTTTGGGGCTAAGTGTTTAGCTCAGTATTAAAGCGGTTTTCTGATACTGTTCAAGGCCCTGAGTTTGAGCCCCTCAAACTTGAGAAAATAGGAATAAAAAATAAAGTATACAGTTTGTTGGGAACAGTTTACCTTCCAGCTCTTATCCTTTTTACCTAAAGAAAATACACTTTTCAGAAAGTATGGTAGTGTTTTACAAAAAAAAAAAAAAAAAAAACAGAGTGTTTCAGAACAGGACTAGTGAATTAGGAGAGATTACTTGCATAGCATTGTACTATTAAGAGCTTGCAATATAGGAAATTTTAGAATGTCTTTATGAACTAAAGTTAATATAAAAGTGAAGTGGTATTGGAAGGTACTCTATGGTTTTTATTTTATTTTCATTCTGGTTTTTAAACAGAACATTCAGCATTTATTCAAAGATTAGTTTGATTGAATTTTTGGTTGATGTAATTTTCATTGTTGTTGAACTGTATAGAGTATCTTTCTTACATTCTGGATAGAGTGTGATCTTACCATTGAGAAGAATGATTCTCACTTTGACGGTGTTATTGTTCTGGACAAGAAAGCAAATGTACCAGATAGGAATAAAATCCTTCAGTTCATAAGTCAAGTTTTTAAAAACTCTTGTTTGGGTTTAGAAAAGCATGTGAGTGTTACAAGTTAGTATGCAAATGAAGTTTGGGTCCTGTTTCTTTTCAAAGGAAAACAATTTTGATTATTTTAATAACCCATTCTTGATCTTGAGCTTTATATAATATATTTAATGGCAATTTCACACTGACATGGGACTCTTTGTTTCCTTTTCCAGCAAGTTGTTTTGCAGCACCTGATGTTACTTTACATGAGCGTTTCTCAAGAATACAAAATAGACATGATCCAGATTGCTATCAAATGGCATTGAGTTCAGATCCAGAATTTCACAGGTAATGATTAATTACTCTCTTTCCATTTACCTCATGAGAATAAACCTCAGAATAGATTGGGGAAGGTCCAGTTTTCAAAGCTTACTTTCCTGGGCTTTTCGTAGACTTAAGGGCATCACGTTGTACATTAAAAAAAAAAAAAAAGACTAAGCAGTTACTGGACATTGATGAGGTAGGTTTCGTTAATGTTAGTTGCCTACTGAAGTTAATGCTAGAAGATGTTAAGAAATCAGGTTACTTTAAGTGTCCCAAATGATTGTTTTGAGGTCTGAGAATGATGCTTTCTGCTAGCACTTGTCTGAGCATATCATGTACCCTGTTTGGAGTGCTAAGTTGAATTGATTTTATAATGTTGTGTATCACCAAAATACAGTTTGAGGTCATAGTTACTAGTGATTAGAGAATGATCAAAACTTCCCTGTAATGTGGTCCATAGGCTATATATTGCCTAGTAGTTTGCCATATGGGTGAAAACCTAACGGAACATGGTTGTGTATGACTTTATTTCCAACATTTGAGAGACAGAGGCAAGCAGGTATCTGAGTTTAAGGTAGTGAGTTTCTGGACAGCCAGGGTATATTAGAAAGACCCAGCAGCTGGAGAGATGGCTTTGAGGTTAAGAGCACTGTCTGCTCTTCCTGAGGTCATGAGTTCATTTCCCAGCAACCATATGGTGGCTCACAACCATCTGTGAGATCTGGCACCCTCCTCTGACAAGTAGAGAGAACACTATACATAATAGAAATATATCATTAAGAAAGAAAAAGGTAGAAATTCTCTGTCTTTAAAATAAAAATGAAGTGAATAATAAATAAATAAATGAAAACCTACCTGTCAGCAGGTTTCTTCTGCTTTCTCCAAGACCTACTGGTTTTATTCTAAATTCTATTTGATAGTAAAACAATCAAGGTGTCATGCATTAGATAATTAACATAATTGTTTAATTATATGCCTTTATTATTTTAGGAGAATAGACATGTCTTTGGCTGATCTTCAGAATAAACAGACTATGGTATATGAACCAGACAATGTAAGTGAATACAATTATTACTGATATAGTAGTGGGAAAAGGGTTTGTGATTGGGGTCCAGAAAGGAGTTAAAGGTGTATGAGTAAATCTAGAAATCTAAAATTGAAAAAGTTCTCCAACTGGCTGATTACAGTCCAGGATGGAGATGATATTGAAAAAAGATAAAATTATTCTTTGAGATTACTAAGGATAACAACTTTGGAAAGTTGATTTAAAAATTGTATTTAATTCTCATCCCCAGACTCCTCAGTTTAAAACTTATAGAAAATATGATTGATAGCTGTTTTTCCACATCTGGCACATGATATTTGGTGCTGCTTTCTGTTTGCTGTAGAATTTAAGAACGATTTTATGGAATATAAACTAGTAAAATAATGAAAATAATACTATATTTCTTTATTATCATGTATGTGGCTGCTACCTAATAACCTCCTTCAGACCCTTCCTTACTTTATTGATTAGAAAGACTGTCATGACTAGCCAGGTTGGAAGACAAATCTTTAAAAGCGTGTCAAATTCTAAATTAATTGTTAATTATTCCTTTGAGAATGTTTCTGTAGTGAAGAGATTTTAAGCTATTTTTGATAGACTGTAGTTTTTTACTTACAAAGTTTTTATTAATATAGATAGTTTAGTTTATTGAATGATTCTTTGAGAAAATTTCTTATTATCTTTGTAGCCCACTTACAGGAAATTTGAAGACTAAAATTCCTTAATTCTTGTTGTATAACATGGCACATTTTAATAGTCTACCAAATGCAATTCAGTATGCTTTTTTCATAATCCATCATATCTCTTTTATATAAAAGTAATACATTCCCCTCATAGCCTTTTACAATTGGGGTTTTTAAGTTTCAAATATTTTCAGTAAATGTTTTTCCATATATCATCTATTAATTTTAATGGCTACACGGTTTTGTTTATTTCCATAACTTGCTACATCATTGTATTCTTCCCTTTTAATTATTTTTACATTTAAGTTGTTTCATTTTTGTTATTAAACATTTTTAAAGAAGAAACTTTTTCTTTGGGATAGAATCACAGAGTAGAATTCCTGGGTCAATATTAAGAACTTCTCTGACTAATGTCAGTTGTGTCTCAAAATATTTGTATCAACTTATACTACCATTAACAGGATGAGTTTAAAATAATTAAGGACTTTAAAATAATGTTCTTGTTAGAAATGGTCTTTGTGCAACTAACAGTAATGTAAATGGTTTGTCTTTTGTCAAAATTCCTCAGACTATGGTCAGAGTAATAGATCCAAATGATCTACGACATGACATTGAAAGGAGGAGAAAAGAGAGGTTACAGAATGAAGATGAGAACATTTTTCATATGGCTAGTCCTACAGAGAGGTAATCAGTAAATGAAAAATATCCTACTATCAGGGAGGTTTTGGTTTCAGCATTTTTTTTTTATTTTTGTGTGATTAATTTTAGTCTAGGGATTTGAGTCTTCACATCACTTTGTTTATTTCAGTTACTCATTGATTATCACATGAAGTTTGATTTAAACAACAAAAACAATGGAGTGGGTGAATATTTGAGGTCTTTCTAATTCTAGAGAAGAAGAGTATAATAGCTGGAGGAGTATTAGCAGGATCCAGGACCAGCAACTTTATAGACTGTTGAGCTCAAGCAGATTGAAACTTAAATATGTTTGGATCCTTAGATTATGACTTAGTTTGAATGACTACAAAAATTTGAGGTCAGTACAGTTCTTTTAGTGAACTCTTCTTGGGTCTATGAAGTAGGCAGGTATGGTAGAATGGAGGAAGAAGCGAGAAATGGTGGCATACACCTTTAATACTAGCACTCCAGAGGCAGAGTCGATCTATAATGAGATCCTGTCTCAAAAACAAAATAAGACGAGAAAGAAAAGAAACAGCAGAAGGAGACCTCAATTTGAATCTCATTGACTCTGCCCATTTACAAACTGTCAACAAAATTTGTGAATCTTTAAGAATCTCTCTATACTATAATAAGATCAGCTTACTATGCAGGGGCAGCTATATTGTTAAGTCACTGGCATCTTAGAAGTTATGCCATGTACAGCAAAGAGATCATTATCATATCACATTTTTTTTATTCAACCTCCCACCTCTTTGCAAGGGTCTTTAGTCATCTAAATTGGCCCTAGCCTACCTCTAGTTCTGAGAACTACTGGAACCTATGGCAACTATGTTACCCCCATATGATTATGTGGCATAATTGAATGAGACGATTTCTAGCTTGGGCAAGAGTCCTTAATCAAAGGAATATGAATAGGAAGAGATAGTGCTAATTGTTTTTCCATAATTCTTAGTATCAACTCAAAACATTTAAGTATTTGACTAGATTTTTTTAAATAAACTCCAAACCTAACTAGCCTTAATGAAAATACATGAAGCTTATTTTAACTGGACTTGATTTTGATATTAAGTTTGGGACTGATTAAAAGATAGTGAAACTATGTGTTTTGGCATGTAAAACAATTGGAATATGTAAAAATCTTGTCCTTTGCTGGGCATAAGTCACCAATTTCCTAATATGATATGCTTAACACATGGTACTACCATGTTTCTAGTGACAAACTACTGTGCTTTTCTTGGCTGAGAAAGTACAAACACAATGTACCAAGAAATAGGATTTATTAAACATTTACGATGATAACTACATCATAAATGCTCCAGGGCATATCTTTACCCTTTGAGATGATTAGAGCTTGAATGCTGGCATTCTACTTGGGTTTAATGACCAGCTCTAAGAATCCTAGCTATGGTAATGACTTGGGGTAGGTTACCTAGCCTGTTTCCTCATCTGTGAAATAGGAATGCTTGTCTAAAATGGTGATCAGGATTAAGTAAAATGTAGCTGGTTAGCATTAAGCTTGTTAATGTTAGCTTTGAGGACAGTGTTGTAGCATGAAACAAGAATTTGAAAAAATTTCAGTATTCTGTGCCATAAAATTCACTGTTTGTAAGTAAGCGATTGAGTTTTTTTTATTATATTCACAGAGTTGTATAAGAACCACTTAGCTCAAAAATATTTTGTCACTCCAGAAGAAAACAGTGTACTCAACTACGGAACAACTCCCTCACCCATTTTTTTCTTTTTCCTTTCTCTGGCAACCACTGTTATACATTGTATGGATTGCCTATTCTCAGCATTTCATATAAATGCAGTAATATGATGTTTGGCTTTTCGTGACTTCTTACTTTATGTAGCATGTATTAAAAATTTGTCCATGCTATAGCACAAAGATTTCTTTTATAGCTAAATTATACTCCATTGTATGGATGTGTCATATGTTGTTTATCCATTTATCAGTTGATGGATTTTGATTTGTTTCCACTTTTTGGTTATTGTGAATAAATAGTGTTGTGAACATTTTGTGTGCAAGTTTTTGTGGTCATGTCTTCATTTTTATTAAGTATATACCGACATATAGAATTGAGTTAGGTGGTATTATCAAACTGCTTTCCAAAATGACTGCATCATTTTACATTCTACCAACAATGTGTGAGAAGTTGAAGTTGTTCGTGTCTTTATCAACACCTGTGGGATTCTTTTTTTCTTTTTCTTTTTAAAATGATACCAAATCTGGGGAGATTGCTCAATGGTCAAGGTGCCTGCTACCAAACCTGACAGCTTGAGTTCCATTTCTGGAACATATGTGGAAGAAGAGAGCTGAATCCAACATGTAGTTGTCTGACCTGCATGTGTGCATCATAGTAGGGACATGCACAGACATACAAGTGAATGTACACACCTATACAAACATACCCTAAATAAACATGATATTTAAAATTTTTAAATGATGTAGAATTGTTCATCGTTGACTCAGTTCAATTTCCTTATTAAAGTAAAATTTACCCTTTTATTTAGAAATGAATTTTGCCAAATGAAGTTGCCAAAGTTTGGACTCAGTTTTACTTAAGTAAATTTCAATGTGTAGTTTCTAGAGAAATTCAGATAAAGCATGTCATAAATCAGAGTTAATGATTTCCTCCTATGGGATTTCCATTAATGTATGTTATATGAAGGCTCTTTGTGTTTGTTCAACACTATATTCCATTGCCTTGAGCTCAGTCCATATTTGTTGAAGGTGTGTAAAGAATTTACAGAGTAGTAGATGGGGCCAATGATACTTTGGCTGAAAGGCATTTCTATCTGGACTACTATTCCTTAATGACTTGGAATCCTTTGCCAGCAAGCTTAATTCTTTGACATTCTATATAATGTATAAGACCCTGCTGTTACTTATTGGCTCGTCATTATGACTAATATCTTACCTTGATGTCTCCAAGTCTTCTGACACATGCTTCCTCCTCCTTCTAGCCAGAGTTACTAAGTCCTCTACAATGTAATTGAGATATATTACATAGGCATGGGCTATGTGTAAATAAGAAGCTTAAAATTGTATCAGTGAACTTCAAAAGGACATGAAACTACCAAAACTTTATTTTTCAATAGGGAACTTATGGGGAGAGATGATTCATACTAAACTAGGGTAAATTTCATAGAGATCTTTACCACATACAAGTGATACATAATTTCCTTGTTGTAAAGTGACATTTCTATGTGTTGAGGATGCAATGAAAACTACACAAAGCTCTTGACTTCTTGGCACTTGGAACTTAATGGTATGAGACAGAAAATGTCAGTGGAATGGTAGGTTAAAAACTAAGGTAAAAGTTTTACAATTTTAGTGGGCATATGAATTGATTGAAACAAGTCAGCCAGCTACATCATACTAGAGAGTATAATATTTCAAAACAGGGAACCAAATGCAAAGGTGTTAAGGCAAAACCATGTTTCTTCTTAAGGTTAAGGCCCCGAATTAGGTCTAGTGAGGTTACAGTATGGTAGAAAGGCGAGAGGAAGACTGGGGAGATGGTTTAGTGGGCAAAACACTTGCTGAACAGGCCTGACCTAGATTTAGGTCCCTACAATAATCCTGTTGTGCTCCTACTGTGAGATGGGAGGCAGAGACAAGATAACAACTGGAGGCTTGTGGATTAGCCTGAAAGAGCAAGAATGAACAAACAGGCTCAGTCTCCAACAAGGTGGAAGGTGAAGAATAACATCCTAGGTGATATGACTTTCATATATGCCCTGTAGCACATGTATGCCTGCATCTATATTATAAACTCAAGAGATATGTGAAAGTATATAATGCATATAAAAGATTAAAAGTTAGTAGATGAGGCCAGATCATGAAGGACTTTGAAGGACAAGAAGACTATTTTACAGTGAATGAAATTAGAAACATTTGAGGTTCTAATGAAAAAAAAAAAGAATCTCTAAATTTAAAAAGGATTACTATAGCTGCATGGTAGAAAGTGGATTGTAATAATTATAGAAAAAATCACTTCATTTTATGGCTTATTTCACTTTCATAATGCTTTTTAAGTTTCAGCCACGTGTCATATGTCTATGTTTCATCCCTTAAAACCTTCATTTTAAGGCTGGAATAGTGTTTGGGTATACTATATTATATTTAGCTGATTGTTTTTTTATAGATATTTGTGTGTTTTCTACCTTTTGCCTTTTAAAAGTAGTGCTGTTAGGCACATTCAAGTATGCCGTTTCTTATTGTAGGCTTTCTATTCTGGTGAGTATAAGATAGCATCTCATTTTTATATGCTTTTTGACCATTTATATGTCTTACATGTAGAAATTTTTGTCCAAATCCTTGGCCCATTTTATAATAAAATTAAAGTCTTTATTGCTGAGGTATTATAGTTGTGTTTATTTTGAGACAGGGTCTCAATATGCAGCCCTGACTGGCCTAGAGTTGACTATGTAGCTCATGCTGGCTTCAAATTCATAGAGATCTATCTACTCTGCCTCTTAAGTATTGGTATTAAGGGCATTAGGTACCACACCTGGATAAAAAAAGTTCTTATTGTTCTCCAGGCCAGTGAGATGTTTCAGTGGATAAAGGCACCTGTACTAAACATGACAATCTGAGATGTAACATTTTTCCCTGACCTCCACATGTGCGTTTTGGCTCACACATAATAATAAAATATGATAACACATTAAGAGTTCTTTATTCTAAATATTAACAGTTTGAGTGTTACTTACTGGTCACTGCTTGTGACCAGAAATGATTTAAATTTAAATTATTTGGAATACCTGCATATATGCAATAAGCTATTGTTGGGGGGTGCCATAATTAAAGATGTAATTTATTTATGTTCTTTCATTCATATACAGAAGGAGATTTTTATACAACATTTTAATGTGCCTGTGTTTTGACTGTGATTCATCTTATATAGTCAGGTGTAGAATTTTTCATGTTAGTGCTCAGAAAGCTTCAGATTTTGGAGCATTTTAGATTATCGACTATGTTTTGCAAAGAAGGTTTTAAAAATACCAGGCATTTGTAACTTTGCCAAATAGAAATGAGCAATTTCAATATTTAGTCTATTTTTTACACTTATCTTTTTTATCCTCAATGTATAGTTATTATGGTTACACTCTGCTGTTTTGACTTATATTACATCACAAAAATTTTATCAGAATAGCAAGTTTCTGAACATTCCATGGACCCTGAAATCATTTTGTGTCTGGTTTGGAGGTTAACGGTGAAACTACAAATAAGCCATCCATGGTGGTACTCAAACCTTATTCCATTAAACACATAGGTATAAGTAGTACCTACAGATAAGAAATAGGTATTAGAATATCTAAATGATGTATGTGTCACAGTAGGGTTATCTATTCTACTTCAGAGGAGTTTAGGAAAATTTTTGGACAAGGTACGCATGGAGCTGAACTTGGAAGTTAATTTAAATGGAAGGAAATGATCACAGAAGGAATTGCAGGTACAAAGTTATGGAATCAGGAAAGATCATGGTATGTGCTGGGAACTATATATACACAATTATTTAAAGTTCAATATATGTGGTGGGGAGATTGGAGGAAAGCAAGTAGTAAGAACATAAAGAGCCAGAGCAAAAACCACGAGGACTGTGAATTTTATCCCATACAAAGTTCATAGGACTGATGTAGGGCAGTTGGCTCCCTAGGGAACAGGGCTTGAAGAAGACATAGGAAAGGTTTTAAGAGTGTTGTGGGGAGACATGAGATATAACAAGGAAAGGAATTGCCATCAGCTGTCACATTGAGGCTTCCAGGATCTTACCAAGCAGACATGGGAGAGCCCATTGTGACCTCAAGATCTCACATTGTCAGGAGCTGGGAGCTTGTCCTTTGCAGTATGAGAGCCCACTGCTTTGCCAGTGAGGTGACCATGTTGTAGTCTTCTACCTTACCTCTGGTAAAAGTGTTGGGTCATAAGCCAGTGATACTTCTGCCAAGAATCTCAGGAATTGGGGGGGGGGGCGGCAGGGGAGGCAGTGATGCTTTTTCCTGAGGAGGGAAAAACTTTCTAAAAATCAGCTACAGCCTCCAGGGATCCCAGCCTTTGACCTTAGATTGAAACCCCTAGTGCAAGAAATGTTGTTTTTCCTCTATTGCTAACTTCCAGATTAGTTAAATGTTTGTTGAAAACATTAGTCTTAATGACTATCATTTATAATTTTAGTAGTGACAGATCATTGAAATTCTATTGTTTCTCAGATTTTTTTCTCTTTAACTGATTAAAGTAACAAGATTCTTTTCTTTCCCTTTATTAGGAATCATCAATGTTCCAGTTTTTCAAAGGTGAAGACTATTCGTGCTGATGGATTTCAAAAGCCTCCACATTTTATAAAGTCAAATTTTAGAAAATTTATTCAGAAACCTTACATAGTAAGATTGGAGTTTCAAGTTTTTCATTTTTGTACATTATAAATATATCTGTACTTTTCAAAGTGCTTGTAACTTCATTATGCTGTAATAGTGTTGAGGCTTAAAAGATTTTATGACAGAAGAAAGCTCATCTCTTGATTTAGTAGAAGCTTCATTTATTGTAGTACCAATTTTCTTAAGATGTTCATTCATTTCAGGTGTATAATTTGGTGACTTTTAGTAATTCTTTAAGATGTGTTTGTAATCATCACCACAGTTTAGTTGTTGGGCTTAAGACAGGATTTTACCTTGTTGCTCAGGCTAAGCATTGGAACTCAATATAAACCCCAGGGTAGCCTTAAGTTTGTAACCCTCCTGCCTTCACTTCCTAAGTGCTGGGATTACAGGCATATGCCACCATACCTGAATAGGATATTGTCATTACCCAGTAAGAGCTCTCATGCCTGTTTAATTATTTCATGTTTCCACCCCCACAAATCCACTAATATTCCTGTTTTAAAGATTTGCTTATAGAATAGATGAATAGATATGGGATTCTGTGAGGACTGAATGATGGAAGGCAGTTACTTTGTAACCTAATTTTAAAAGTAATATCCCATTACTTTACCATATGGCTATTATAAGAATCATGCCCACAAAGAAAAGGATCACTGATGGAGATAATTAGGAAGCATGTCAGCAGCTGCCTAGTACAATTCTCCCTCTGGCCAGACTCCACAGAAACGGATTAAGTAGAAGGTAATAAGACTATTGATTTTAGAAATAGGAAACTGGAGAATGGATACCGTCTTAATAGAGGATTTTGGTTCTTTGTAGTTAGATTAATAATGTAGTATTTTCTCTTATTTCTGGGCCTTCCCAAGCTATTGCAAGAATAGCACTTTCAAGTGATTAAGTCCATAGACTTTAGGCTAACTTTCCTACTAGCAGTATGGGGAGTTTGTGGTTTCTGGGACAGTAGACAACGTTTACCAAGTCCTGCTGGTAATGGTTTTCTTTCCTTCCAAGATGCGTATATAAGTAAATGGTAGATTTATAGTCCACATCTAAACATTAACCATTGTGTTATATAGAGTGTTTTTTTTTTACACTTTTCACAGGCATGAATGAAACTGACCCCTCACAAAGTAGCATGGGTCATATGAGAGAAGAAGTATGTAAGCTCCATGCTCCCTGATTTGAGGTCTTATATTCAAACATATGTCTTGATTGGTGAGAATAGTTTTTAAAGTAACCCTTAAGCTGTATTAACCCTTGTTAATACTTTTTGTCCAGAACTATACTATGCAGAGAAAAGATGCCATTACTCAGAAGAGATTTAGAGTTGAGGAAAATCATCAAAACAGAAGAGGATCTAAAAGATCTTTCAAGGTATTTTTTTTTCAAGGTTGTTTTTCATTTATGTATGACTGGGATTATATATTGCAAGTAATGTTGTTGCATTAGTAAATTAAAAGCTATTTTGTGGTATTCTTTTAAACAATAACTATAAACTAGTGTTTTGGTTTCTGTGAATATTTCTAGAACTTATACTTAATAGTTACCAGTTTAATAATGATGTTTAATCAGGATTTGACTCTGAATTTCAATTTTAGTAATGGAACACTTTTTTCAAATAGTAATGTAGCTGTTTCTAGAAATTGCCAAAGATTTAAGACTTAGTAGGGTAGGGTAGATTCCATGTGTAAAAATGTTGACTGAGTTGCTTCTCAAACTGTTCTAGAAAGTTGCTTGGAAATGGCAGCTTGTCACAAGAAGCATATGGGAGTAGTGAGAGAAGGAAATTTGTAGACTTTTTGGAAGGTTTGCATAAGATTGGTTTATGTCTGAAGATTCCTCCTCACCTCCAGCACAAAATGACAAGATCAATAACACAAATATTTGTAGTCTTCTACGTCTACAATATTGGACAATATATAGGACAGAATTTAGTTTTCATCATTCATGCTGTTAATATTTCCTATTTTTATAGTAAAGGTATTGGCAAAAATAAATGTTATGTTATTTAAGTGTCTGTGAGTATATGCACATATGTGTAGGTACGCGTAGAGGCCAGATGAAAGTGTTAGATACCCTGGAACTGGAGTTGCTGTCAGTTGTGGGTTATCCAATGTGGATGCTGGGAACTGAACAAGGGTCCTCTGGAAGAGTGGCATATCCCGTCTTTCCAGTCCCAGGAATAAAGTTTAAAAGTTTTGATCCACAGGTATTTTTACTTAGTATCTTTCCCCCCTCACTTGTACTTGACATAGTCCCTATAAATCAGAAAAATAAATTTAGCTAATTAGAACTTACAAAGATTATATTTTTCAGTATGTTGAATACCAATTCATTTCAAGTTCTTTTATCTTTTCCCTTCATGTGTATATGTGTTTGCACATGCAGATGCTGTGTATACGCATTTGGAGACCAGACATAGATGCTGGATGACATCATTAGTTGTTCTCCACCTTATTTTTCTTTTATTGATGCATTTTTCTTTGACAACTTTATATGTATATATGGTACATTCTGGTTACTTTTGCCCAACTCTCTTCTTTTTCTCCCATCTGTCTGCCTCCTACTTTCTTATATATGTCTTTGCTATATTCATGATGTTATTGTCTTGTGTCCTACAGAGTTTAGGGTTGTATGTATGACCTTGGGTTTGAAACTATCCATTAGACTCTGGTGGGTTCATCAGTGGCAGCATAACTAGATAATCTGCCTCCCCTTTTCCCAGAATCTGTTAGTATCAGTATTGTGTGTTACTTTTCTATAGTGTGCAATAGGGCCTCTTTCCCAATTGTAGCTGACTATTAGATGTGCTAATTTATTATTGCCTCGGTTGTATCAAGCTTGGAAAATGGTATTCCCTAGCCCTTCTCATCATCTTACAGTTCTTACATTCTTTCTCCCCCACCCATTTTCATAATGTTCCCTAAGTCTTAAGTGGGTGATCCAAAAAGTCTTTATTATGGTTGAGCCCTCAAACACCCTTTATTCACAATATCTTGTGCTTGCATGGGTGCCTGCATTCACATCCAGTCACTGCAAAGAGAAACTTCTCTGATTAATCTTAAGAGAAACTTTTGTCTTTTGGAATAAACATAAATATTTAGAAGACAGTTTGACACTGTTAATTTAGCTGCTAATCAATGGTAGTAGGACTAAGACCTCCTTAGTCATAGTTATGTTTTATATGTTTTATTTTTCTAATCCAGTTTATAGTACTTGGCATGGATTTCGTTTTGTGGACTGGGCTTCAAATCCAATGAAGGAGTTATCCTTGTAACAGTCATGTCACTATTGTACCAGTGGGCACATCTTGCCTGGCAGGTTGGTAGTGTAGTTCAGAGTTCATAGCGGAGTAAGACCATTGTTTCCTTATTCCCCCAGCAGCCTGAACAGCACTATCTAGTACTGTGAGAACTATCCATCAGGAAGCATCCAGCTCAGTTCAAGCTTGCTTTCTATGTATCTTGCTACCAAAGTACATGTAGTCTTCAGCAATGTGGTTTTATCAGCGATTTCTATAGGCAACCAAGATGAATGGTAATATCCTGTATTGTTTGGGGGGGGTTCTATAGAACCTCCTTAATCAACAACTCCTATGAAAGTATCCCACATATGACACTGTTTATTTGTTTGTTTGTTTGTTTTTTTAAGTCAGCCTGACCTAGCTTGCTTTTCTGTTGTTGTGAAAAAGCACTGACAAAAATCATCTTTGGGGAAGAAAGGGTTTATTTGGCTTACAGGTTACAATCATCATCAAGGGAAGCTAAGATAGGAACATGGAGACAGTAACTGAAGCAGAGATCATGGAGGAATGTTACTTACTTCTTTGCTTTCCATGGATTGCTTAGCTTTCTTACACAGTCCAGGACCACCTGCCCAGGGGTTGCACTGCACAGTGAGATGGATTCTCCTATTAATTAAGAAAATTCCCCACAGACATGCCACAGTCTCATCTGATGGATATAGTTCTTCAACTGAGGTTCCATCCTTCTGGATGACCAGAGTCTGTATCAGGTTGACATAAAAAACCACTAGTATAACTTTATCAACTCACCATCAGTCACTATTAAATTGTAATGTTTTTTTCTTGCTTATCCTTAAGATCTCATGTTAAGAGCACAATGTGAAATACAACACAAAGTCCCTGTTTGAACAGTTTTGTTCCTAGTATTTCCACATCCACATTCATCTTGCTTATATGAGTCTATCCTCATACCCTTAAGACAACACTGTACACTTTCTGGTTTCCTAGACTCATTCCATAGGTATTCCAAGTTAAACACAAAATAAAATGTTGAGGTCAGGATCTGCAATTAGAGAGGCCATGCATTGTCTTTCTGGGCCTGGATTAGCTTTCATACATTTTTCTAGTTTCATCCATTTCCTTGCACATTCCTTATTTTTAGTTTTCTTCATAACTGAATAAAATGTCATTGTGTGTGCATACCACAGATTCTTCAGTTAGTGGATTTCTAGGGTGATTCTGTTTCCTAACTTTGTAAATAGAGATACCATGATTGTGGATGTGCACATGTCTCTGTATTAGAATATAAATTTCTTTGGAATGGTATACCTGGTCTTATGGTAGTCTATTTCAAATTTTTTTGAGGTAAATCCAGACTGGCATCTAAAGTGGATATACTGGTTTCCACTTCCACTGGTGTTGTATAAATGGTCCTCTTTACCTACAACCAGGCCAGTGTTTGTTGTCCTTTGTATCTTTGATGATAGCCAGTCAGAGTGGGGTGAGATAAAATCATAAAGTACCTTTATTATTTTCTTATAATTTATGTGCATCGGTGTTTTGCCTGCATGTATGTCTGTGTGATGGTGTCAGATCTTGGAATTAGAGACAATTCTTAGCTGCCATGTGGGTGCTCTGGAAGAACAGTCAGTGCTTTTAACTACTGAACCATCTCTCCAGTCTAGCTTTATTTTTTTTTTAATTTTATGTGTATGGATGCTTCCCCTGCATGTATGTCTGTATACCATGTTTATATAGTGCTTGCAGAGGCCAAAATTGGGGGCCAAATTCCCTGGAGCTGGAGTTGCAGGCAGTTGTGAGGTGTTGTGTGCATGTTGGGAATTGAAGTCTGGTCCTTGGAAAGCTTTAACTGCTAAACCATATTTCCAGCCCTTAAAATAGTTTTAAAATACATTTCCCTGATGACTAAGTGTATTAAACCCTTTTAAAAGTGATTTCTAGCCATCTATATTTCTTCTTTTGAGATCCCTCTCTTGTGAGTTCCTTAGCTCATTTGGGTTGTTTGTTTTTATGGAGTTTATATATTTTAGTTAATAATTATTATCAGATATAAAGTTGACAGATATTTTCTCTCATTCTGTGGGCTGCTTCATTCAGTCAATGGTTTCTATGCTGCACAGTTTTATTTATTTTTTTAAGTTTCATGAGATCACATTTATCAGTCATTGGCTTTATTTCCTGTGTTATTAGAGTACTCTTCACAAAATCTTTATGCCTATATGTTGAAAACCATTATACCTATATTTGAAGTATAATCTTTACTTTTTCATTTAGCAGATTCAGGGTACTAGATCTTATATTGAGGTCTTTGATCATTGGAGTTGACTTTTGTTCAGGAAGATTGTTAAAACCTTAGCCAGATTAACTCAAATGAAGAGAACATACAGAATAGTTTTGAAAAGTGAAGTGTGTTCACTGGGGCAGTGGTGGCACACGCCATTTATCCCAGCACTTGTGAGGCAGAGGCAGGTGGATCTTTGTGAGTTTGAGGCCAGCCTGGTCTACAGAGTACCAGGACAGGCTCCAAAGCTACACAAAAAAATAAAAACCTTGTCTGGAAAAACAAAAAGAAACAAATAAACAAAAAAGTGGGGTATGAAAATAAATACCGATGAAAAGAAAACCATAATTGTACTAAACCTATTATAGTACTAAAAAGAATGGATTAATTTCTAGGTGCATATTACTTACCAAAATTAGATGAAGGTGAAATAAGTTAAAAGGACAAACCAGCCAGGCAGTGGTGGCACGCTCCTTTAATCCCAGCACTCAGGAGGCAGAGGCAGTCAGATCTCTGAATTCAAGGCCAGCCTGGTAACAGAGTGAGTTCCAGCACAGCCAAAACTATGCAGAGAAATCCTGTCTTGAAAAACAAATAAACAAACAAACAAACAAACAAAAAAGATGCAGTAATAAAAATTCTCAACTAAAATCCTCTAGTGCCAGATGATTTCATTGAATAATTCTGTTAGATTTTGAAAAAATTAACACCAGTACATTCAAATTATTTTACAAAATAGAAAACTAAAAGGTTTTACAAAGCCAGCATTGTCCTGATACCAATCTAGACAAAGACAGCAACAAAAAAAAAAAAAAAGAAGAAGAAAAGGCTCAATCTACTTGATATACATGGAAGTAAAGTATATCAATAGTTGCATATTTTCAGGATGAAAGGAAGTGTATTTGTCATAGTCACATTGCCTTCATTCCTGAGTTGCATATGCATACTTCAACATGTGGAAATCAATAAATGTAATTCACTGCATAAATGGATGCAAAGATAAAGTCACATGACTAGTGTAGAAAAGGCCTTTGGCAAAATCTAACCTCCATTCAAGATAAAAATTATGGGGTGGTATCGTGTTGCTAGAGAGATAACTCAGCAAAGATCGCTCATTACTCTTGGAGACGACTCAGGTTTAATTTCCAGCACCTGGTAGTTGACAGCCATCTATAACTTCAGTTCCAGGGGATTCAGTGCCCTTTTCTGGCCTCTGCCAGCACTGTATTCATGTGGTGCACATATACATATGCAGGCAAACCATAAATCTAAAAATTTTAAGTCGTGAAGAGGTTACAGATGGATAGAACATACCTCAACATGATAAAGGCATTATTTCACAAATTGAGACAGTATCATCCTAAATGGAGAAAAACCCAAAGCATTCCAACAAAGATCAGGAACAAGGCAAGTATGTCTACTCTACACTGCCATTCTATATAATGTTTGAAATCTCCACTAGAGCAGTAAGACAAAAAGAAATAAAAGGGATAGAAATAAGAAAAGTCAAAATGTGTCCTTTTGCAAATGATATGATTAGAGACTCTAGATACTCCACCAAAATAAACCTTTTAGAGCTGAGAAAATACTTTACTGAGGTAGCATAATATAAAATTAATATGCTAAAGTTAGTAGCCTTCCTATATACCAATGACAATCATCCTGAAGAAAATCAGTAAAATCTCATTCAGAACACCACACATACTTGCTTACACACACACACACACACACACACACACACACACACACACACACACACACACACACACCTGAGAATAAACTTAACCAAGGAACAAAGGACTTCTACAATGAAAATTTGTTTTTTGGTTTCCCGAGACAGGACTACAGGCTTTCTCTATGTAGTTTTGGAGCCTGTCTTGGAACTTGATTTGTAGACCAGGCTGGCCTCGAACTCAGAGATCTGCTTGCCTCTGCCTCCTGAGTACAGTGGTAAAGGAGTGTGCCGCCACTCTCTGGCCTACAATGAAATTTTAAGACAATGATAAAATAGTTGATGAAGACATTAGAAGATGGAAAGAGCTCACATGCTTACAGATCAAAAGATTCAATATTGTAAAAAAATGGCTGTCCTTCCAAAGACAATCTGTAGATTCTAGGGATATTCTTCATAAATATAGAAAAGACAATCTTAAAATTCATATAGGACAAAAGACCCAATGATAACCAAAACAATTCTGAACAAATAAATAGTATAAGAGGTATGAACATATATAATTTCAGGCTATACTACAGAGCCGTAGTAATAACAGCATGGTACTTCTAAAAAAAATAAATAAATAAACATGGATGGACTAGAGGACCTTAATGTAAGTTCATGCTAAAATATATGAAAAATAGACACTGAAGAAAAACAATATCTTACAACAAATGATATTGGGAAACTTGAGCATCAACATGTAGAAGAATGAAACTAGATCCACCTTATTTTCTGAGACAATGTCTCATTGAACAAGGAGCTAGGAACACAACAATTCAGATAGGCTGACTAGCCAGTCAACTCTAGTGATCTATCTGCCCATCGCTACCTCTCTACTCCTCCCCCTATCACCAACTGGCATTTATAGTCAGGTACTGGAGATCTGAACTCAAGTCCCCATGCTTGCTTCGCAGGTACTTTACTGATGGAGCCATCTCCCTAGGTTCACTACTGTTTCTAAAAACTATTTTCTATAGAACAGTCTTTAAAAAGATACAGAAATAAACTAGTTTGAAGAAATTATACCTGTGGTTCCTAGAATCAAGGACTGTTGTAATTATTATTATTCTCCTGTCTGTTATACTAATAGAATAGATTGGGGAACTGTATTTTTAACATTTAATTCTCTTTGGATCCTTTACAGAACTTTTTGGGTGGCAGATTCCAGTCCCATTTTAAGTCACATCTGGTACAGAAGAGCTTGTATATTCAGGCTAAATACCAGCGTTTACGGTTTGCTGGACCAAGGGGATTTATTACCAATAAATTCAGAAACAGATTTCTGAGGAAAAAAAAGGTTAGTTCGACAATAACCTTTTAAAAATATTGAATCACTTTAAATGTTTGTTAGATAATTGGAGGTTTCATCTACTTTAAGAAACAACCTAGATTTTTAAAATGATCATATTGCATGATAGTTGGATGAAAACTTCAATATTAGTGCTGATAGAAATATGAAAGTATTTAAACTTAGAATGCTTTTAGCCATTCTACACGAAACAATTTAAGTATGATAGCTTGTTGTATGACAAAACTTTTCCTGGGGAGATGTAACTTATGTATCTACCCACCCCAGATAGGGAACCTATGACAGGATAAAGTACAGATACCACCAGAGTCCCACTAGGTGAGCCAGTGAGTTTTATTGGGATCACTTACAGGATCAGAAATGACTCAAAGACAGCCACTTCAACAAAACCCACCCCAGCATGGGAACCTAGAACACACTGCACAGCCTGCAGGCAGCTCGACAGGTTGGAGAGTGGTTTCCAGGTGCCTCAGTTGGTCTAACCTCTAGGCAGCTCAGCTGGTTTCTGCCTCTTCCAGCCAGTTGGTCAGTTCTCAGTCTTCTTAGTAGCTATTTTTTTCACTAAGAGTCTTCTTTTGAACTTGCCTGAGTCTTCTTGGCAGCTTGACTTCTATTTGAGAGGACATCTTTGCAGCTCAGCCTTCTTCCATCTGTGAGGCACTCTTTTTTTATTAATTAATTACTATTTTAAATTTCATTTTACATTCTAGCCCATTTCTCACGTATTTTTTTGTTTGTTTGCTTTTGTTTTTGTTTTCTGATTGTAATAATTGATTCTTAACCAAGACCTTCCCTGTGGCCACAGATTTGCATCATGTGTTCACCATTTAGCACACAACTGAAGGAAATGATTATCTCTTCCCCAGAATTCATCAGTTGTCAATAGTTTAGCTGGGAGGGTGTCTTAGTTACTTTTTGTGATGCTGTGACAAAGTACCATGACCAAGGCCCTTAAGTTTCAGATGGTTAGAGTACATGGCCATTGTGGCAGGGAACATGGCAGCAATCAGGCAAGCTTGGCACTGGAGCAATAGCTAAGGTCTCACATCTTGATCTGTTAAGTACAAGGCATAGAAAACTAGGAATGATGTGGATTCAAACCTCAAAGCCTATACCCAGTGAGTGACATACTTCTAACAAAACTCTTCTAACAAAGCCACACCTCTTAATGCTTCTTACACAGTTTTACCAACTCAGAGATAACTTGTATGAGCTTTTGGGGGCCATTCTCATTCAAACCACAACTGAGGGTAGGGTCCCATAAGTCCTTCTCTGATCCATGATTGGCTATTTGCACTCCTGGTTTTGTGTAAGCTCAGTGTGATCAAGCTGTGCTGAGATTATTTTTGACATGGCTTTATCATGTCCTAAAGATAGCATTTGCAGTCATCCTCCCTATTATCATCTTCTTACATTAAGCCACACTCTCTTTTGCAGTGTTTCCTGTGCCTTAGAGGGGTTGGCATACATGAATATCCTGTTTCTGAGTACTCAACCATCATTTATTTGAAGCATCGTTACTATTATTCACTACAAAGAAAAGCTTCTCTTATTAAAGCTGCGAGTATCATTTGTCTATAAGTTTAAACATAAATATTTAGACTTCAGTTTGGTGCCATGTTAAATTTAGCTAAACAGAAGTAAACCCTTCCTCTACACCCTTGACCTTCCCCAGCCATAGGTATTTGATAGGGTTTACAGTACTATCCTACCTTTGTATTCCCTCCTATGAAGTGGGTTTTAAATCCAGTCCAAGAGTGCTTACTATATCCTATAATAGTTGTGCCACTATTGTGTTAGTGGGCACAACTTAACCTGGCTGTTTGGCATTATAGCATAAAGAATCCACAGCTGCTAAGACTATTGATGCTTTTACTCTCCTAGCAACCTTCATAGCAACATCCTGTACTATGAAATCTAGCCAGCAGGGAGGAAGCATCCATCTCTGTTACAGCTTGCTTTCTCTATATCTTATAACCAAGGTGTGTATAGTCTTTAGCAATAAGACTATCATCTAATTCTGGTAGGCAACCAAGAGGAATGGTAATAGCTTGTATTGTTGTGGGAGACTTTGGGGCCTCTCTGGCCAACAATTAGTAAGGAAGTATCCCATACCTGGCACTGGGATTTTTGTTTTATATGCATTGGCTTCTAGGAGGAGTATTATACAACTTTGCAAAATATCTCCTTTTTTAAATCATTTAATTATTTTTTTTTTTTTTTTTTTTTTTTTGAGACAGGGTTTCTCTGTATTGCTTTGGAGCCTGTCCTGAACTAGCTTTGTAGACCAGGCTGTCCTAGACTCACAGAGTTCTGCCTGCCTTTGCCTCCAGAGTGGTGGAATTAAAGGTTTGTGCCACTAACACTCGGCTTTTAAAACATTTTAATTGGCTTACAAAATAATAGATTTCCATGTTATTTTTCATAAGCTAGGCTCTATTTCTTATATCTTAGTATTATATGTGCGTTGATTTGGCCTATTCCAATCTAACCAATGTCTGCCTGCAGGCAGTCTTCAGATAGGTTTATATAGAGTTTTATGTAAACAAAGCCCAACTTTGAGTATAGAATGAAATTAGGTACCCTACTATTAGCATGCTGCATAACAGGTGATCTCCATTTTCCTAACCTTTGGGGAAAGGAATGAGACATGGCAGCTATTGTATCTGCCAGGTCCATCCAAACTAAGGTATTAACAGCTAACTAGACCTTTGATATCCCTCTAGCATGTGCTACTATAAAACTATATCCTATGTGGAGAAATTGATGACCAGCCTCATCAGTCTGTTTTACCTCAGTCTTTATGCCCTAAAAAGAATGAAGTCTAGAATTACTGGTTTTTGCTTATGCTGACTCCCATTTTCTTTAAATTAAGGACACTTTTGCACAAATGGGTTTGCTGAGTGTATATCATAGATAAATAAGAATATGGGAGAACAAATAAGTTGATGGATGTTTATTCAGGGAGAAATCATTTACCAGAAATAGATGACTGCCAGCAAGTTCCCATCCCAAGGATGCCTCTAGATGTTCTCTGTGTCCTACCAGGAAGGAAGAGAGAGTGCTGGGGTCCGGAACCCCAGACCTAGTTCCCCCAGATCATGCCCACACCCCAATGGGAGTGGTCAGTGCAACAGATGCAGGTGGGGTGGATATCTCACTACACGTGTGAAGTACCATTTACATCATTTTGTATGGGTGTGTAAGTATGAGTGTATGTGATATTGAAGGTAAAGCTGTGGGACTTACATACGCTAAGCAGTCTACAGCCTACAGTTAAATCATTTAATTACCACGTTTTGGCATCAGAGGGAACATTTAAAAATTCTGCCCTAGAAAGATACCTTAATCTGTGTAGTATCTTGTGGTGATTTGAAAGAGAATAGCCCCATAGGCTTATATGCTTGAATGCTTGATCGCCAGTTAGTAGAACTATTTGGGAAGGATTAGGATGTATGGCTTTGTTGAAGGAAATGAGTCACTGTGGGTGGGCTTTGAGGTTTTGAAAGCCCATACCGGGCCTAACGTCTTTCTGCCTGCTGCCTGCCTGTTAAGCAGGATGTAAAGCTCTCAGTTACTGCTCTAATACTGTCTGTTTCCCACCATGATGATCAGGGACTAACCCTTCAAAATTGAAAGCAGCTAGGCATTTAATTCCAGCACTTGAGATGAAGAGGTAGGCAAATTTCTGTGAGTTCAAGTCCAGCATGAACTGATCTAGTTCCAGGATAGCTAGAACTGTTAAATTGAGAAACCCTGTCTCAAACAAACAAACAAACAAACAAACAAACAAAAAACAATAAAATTGAAAACAATCTCCCAATTAAAAAGCCCTCAAGGCAATTCTTTTGTAAGAGTTGCTTCAGTCATGGTGTCTGTTCATAGCAATAGAACAGTAGCTAAGATGCATTGTTTTACATTTTACCTTTCTGTGGTGTTTGAGAAGCCATTCTTTTAGCAGTTGAACTACCACCTGGATTAATTAATTGATGCATCATTAATTAAGTAGTCTAGATACTATGAAATTAGATCCGAACCTACTTATTCCCATATACCTGATCTATCAGAAGTATTTTAAAACGTTTTATTTTTTTGAAAAACTTGCAAATAAGTAGAAATACCCACACCAGTATTAATCATACCCAAAGTCTATACAACTTAATGAACTTACATAAAGTTAGAATTGGCATTCAAAATGGAAGCTCTGAAACTTCACATTAAATTTTACACTTTTAGTATTGAATGTATTTTGTGCATTAGTCCACCACCAAAACCAATAAAAAAAAATCCATGACAGGGTTAGAACTAGGAAAACAATTAGTTTTATATTCTCTTTTATGACCCGTGTTTATTACCTGCATTTACTCCATCCTCATTCCCTTATACCTAGCCTTTCTTATCCTCTTTCTTTGTGTTTGTACTGCACCTACATGTCCATGTGTATACTTATATACACATATTATTGGCTAGATTCTGCATATGATAGATTCTGCATGTGATTTTATTTATTTCTGAGATTGTATAACTTTGTACTTCAGACAAGGGACTGGTATCTAGAATTCACAAAGAATTTCAGAAATAAAATACCAAGGGGATAGAACTGCCAGTCAACAAGTGGGTAAAGAACTGAAGAGACGCAAACAAAGAGACGCAAATGATCAGCAACTTTTTTTTAAAAAGTGTTCGATGTGTCTAGCCATCAGGGAAATTGTAAACTAAAACTACTTTAAGATAATTGCCTCACCCTAATTGGGATGGTTGTCATCAACAAATCTGACAACAGAAATTGGAGAGGATATAGAAAGAGGGAAAGCCATATTTACTGTTGGTAGGAGTGTGGGTTAATAGAGCCATTGTGGAATTCAGTTTGGAGATTTCTCAAAAAATTAAAAATAGATTACCATGTACCCCAGCTTTCTCACTCCTGGGCCAATACTCACCATTAAGATATTTATACACATTCCCATGTTTATTGCTGCCTTATTCAC